GACTCGTGCGCGCTTTTTTGAAGACTACGACGGTTGGATGGACGATCAGGAGCGCGATGACGCCGGTTGGATTGACGATCAGGAACGCGATGACGCTCTCGAGTCTGATCAGGAGCGCAATGACGCTCTCGAGTCTGATCAGGAGCGCGATGACGACGCTCTCGAGTCCGATCAGGAGCGCGATGACGACGCTCTCGAGTCTGATCAGGAGCGCGATGACGACGCTCTCGAGTCTGATCAGGAGTGCGATGACGACGCTCTCGAGTCCGATCAGGAGCACGACGACGCTCTCAAGTCCAATCAGGCGCACGACGACGCTCTCAAGTCTGATCAGGAACACGTTCCTCAGGCATCAATTGCTCCTCACCTGCCGTCATCATCTGGCCACCAACTCTCTCGTTCTTCGTCTACAGCTGTTTGCACGACAGGAGACGACATTCACAAAGGATGCGCGCACGTCTCCAAAATTGTCCAGCTCATGCGCAAGACGCTCAAGGCTCAAGCTGTCCAGTGCAAGGCCGACGAGGAGCGTTGCAAAGAGGACATTGCCCGCAAAGCCCTTGAACGCCAACGTGATCGCGAATTGTTTGCTGCTACCATGCTGCAAGCCGTGCGCATGCTGCCATTGGAACCAGGATCATCTGCGCCATCGGTGCCTGCAAGGAGCCAAGCCACCGCGACACCAAAGGACGCGGAAGTTGAGCGCGCAAGCGAAGAAGAGCGTGAAAAAGTCGAGCGCGCAAGCGAGGAAGAGCGCCAAGAAGTCGAGCGCCAAGAAGTCGAAGCGCTCTTGCAGGCATCTGCCGGCCCTCCCAAGCGCTCGAAGCGCACTCCTCTCTCCATCGAGCCATCAATGCGCGAACTGCGTCCCCGCCCCAAGTCGATGCGCGCGAGGCGATGACTTTGCCTGCGCGAGGCGATGACTGTACGCCGCTTCTTGTTACGATGCCGCTCGTCGACAGGCCATCTTTTGCTCGTTCTAACGCGAACCCAGTTGTAAATATAGCACTCACAACGCGCTCCTCAACGTCAACGCATTGCGTACAGTACAAGATGGTCATGCGATCCCCCGTCGTCAAAGACGCCTCTGTCACGCGCGCGCGTGCCTGCGTCGCCTTCCCACAGTTGAAGCCAGCGTGACAGCTGTATGCGAGCGTTGCAAGAGAGCGCCTTGGATGGCGTGGCAGTCGCGATTCGTTTGCGTTGCGCGAGCGTAGTGGACAGTGAAGACGCGCCGCGAAACGAATCGGCGTGACACGAATCGGCGCGACACAAATTGGCGCGACACGAATCGGCGCGGCCCGCTCATGACCCCATCTCGATGCTCATCGTTACCATTGCCATTCGACTCGAGCCCCATCGCTCCACTCGTGGTGAGAGAGAGCGAGCGAGCGACGCGCGAGTACCGAGCAGAGCGGTCGTGAATGTGAATGAGGCGCGCGGATTCGCAAATTTCACAAGAGTCCGCGCGCGCGAGGCGCGACGCGCTAGTCACGTGATCAAACACCGTGCGGGCGTGCAGCGTGGCAAAACTCCATCACTTTTTGACTTGTGTGTGGGTGCGATTCGTGATTCTCATCTGAGGCGGCAGCGCAAGCGGCAGCGCAAGCGGCAGCGCAAGCGGCAGCGCAAGCGGCAGC